AAAAAAAAATTCTATTTTCAGTAAAAGAAAAAAGATATCCTTCCCTACACTGACAAGTGTCACACCTGCCAAGACACTGTGATAAAGAAGAATATTTTAAAGCATGAATACAAAAGAACAGTTTAGGGGATGTAAGTGAAAAAGACGGGTTATAAACATGTATGCACGGTATGTTTTCAACTTTGCAAAAATTATAAAAATATATAAAAATGTAAAATATACTCATGTAAATATAAGTAAATAATTGTATATAGCATGAAGTGCTAATGGTAGTTAAGGTAGGCTTATTATCTTATGGCTTATTTTTGAAATTTTGTTTCTATAATGATAGCATTCATATGCAATACATAAGAGAATTTAACGGCTGGGCGTTAGCTTGGTGGTGGTATGCTTGACCAACGTATTCGAGGCCCTGGGTTGTGTAATGATATATAATATATGAAAGAAAAAGATTTAGCTGATTATATATTATGTATCTGATATCTATATGCTGAACGAGTTAAGCAATACATAAGAGAATAGATAAGGCTATGTCATAGACTACAAGGATGATGCTGTGGATACAAAATGTTAACAGAAAGGATTGGCTGAACCAACAGAGCAGAGCTCTCAGTCCTAAGAGAAACGCGGAGGTGGTCATTTGTTTGCTCGCACATATCAAAGGGACACCCCATAGGCGTGAGGTAAATTCTAAGCAGCTACTGTGGGCATTGTTTTAAAGTATTAACCAAACTATCCTAAACACTCTCTCTCTCTCTCTCTCTCTCTCTCTCTCTCTCTCTCTCTCTCTCTCTCTCACACACACACACACACACACACACACATAATGAAAGGTTTAGAAGGACACACGCTAAAATATTTATAGAGATTGAATATGGGTGATAGTATTGCATGTAATGTTCCCATTTTGGGTCTGTTAAGTATTAAAATATCATTTTTCTTACTTCAACGAGAACATCTTTTTTAAAGAGGAAAAGATGCAGTTTGCTTACTGATGACTTTCCCTCGTTGTTGGTCCGTCTCATACGGCACCTTAGCGTTTATCCCGAGAGCATGGCCGCTCCCTTCTGAGACCCGGACCGAGGGGAGAAGGACCGGGGAGCCGCAGGGCCCCACCCCTGGCCCACTCACGGCAAGTTCTCAGCAGCAGGGCATGTTCCTTGTGCACAGACCCAGGCACCCTGGGGCCGGAGAAGCCCTTTACCATTCTGTTCAGCCACCGGCGCACTTTGAGGTAGAATTTGAAGAGCAAGCTGATGATGAGGGTCCGTCGGTACTCCACCATGCCGCCCTCAGCCGCCGGTGGGATGCGGATCTCCTCCAGAACCCACCGGCAGGCGTCACTCAGCATCTGGTCGTCCCAGTGCCTGAGGACAGAAGATGAACGTTTCACCCCGGAGCTAAGGGTGTTCCCGAGGTTTGTGCGCTCTGTCCATGGATGACGTCACCAGGGCTGGACCAGTTGCTGGGAGCGCAGCCTCTCAGGGAGCAGAGCTGTCTGTCGGTCCTCTGTCTTCCGCAAAGGCCCTTCCACTTTCTACTGGGGACGGAAGCAGCAAGCGCACCTTGCCAGTGCCACCATGCTCTAGGATGGCAGTCGCCAGGCCAACGGTTCTCAACCTGTGGGTCACGACCCCGTGGCTAGTCCAACCACCCTTTCACAGGGGCCACGGAAGGCCGTCGGAGGACACAACTATTGACATTATGATATGACACAACAGCAGCAAAATTACAGTTATGAAGAAGCAAAGAAAATAATTCCATGGTTGGGGGTCACCTCAACATGAGGAACTGCATTAAAGGGTCGCAGCATTTGGAAGGTTGAGGACCACTGCTTGAGACCCGGAGGCCAAAATAAAACCCTTCTCTTTGTAAATCACTCAGTCTCCGGTGTTTTGTTAGAGTAACAGAGTGTCGCAGCTGGCAGGCAGACACCAAACTACTAAGGCAAGGAAAAACGGGGTGCAACTCTGGCTATCTTTTAAGTCCAAACAAAATGCCCTTAAGATAGGCCACTTAGCTTTCTTCCCCTCCCCTCC